AGATTTTTTTCATTCTGCCCACAATAAAGCACAAATACAAAACTATATTTAAAAATTTATAAATTTAGCAGAGCAAGTCCCAATTGTCTGACAGCTCAATACTTGGAGTCTTTTCTCTCATTGCTTAAGAAAACTGAGCCTTACCTTGTTTGACAACTCAATACTTGGACTCTTTTCTCTCATTGCTTAAGTAAACTGAGCCTTACCTTGTTTGACAGCAATGTGATGAAATGCTTAGTATATTTATTCCAGCTTTTTTCATTGAGGAAGAGCCTTTTGGCCAATATGACTCCATTTCTTTCAATTACCTATAAAAATAATGTACTCTAATCAGGAACCCAGAACATTAACAAACCACTATAATTTATTACAGTTATTTCAAAGTCAATCTTTCATGAATAATTATATCAACCAAAATTTCTTATTTAAATCAACTAATATGAATCACAAATTCACATTTTCTGAAACCACAGAACTGGAACCAAACTAAAATAGAGTATATATTCTAAACAATTTTATCTCAAGACACTTTAATGCTGTTAAAAATTACTGAGGACTCTACAGTGCTTTCATTTATATAGATTATATCTATCGACATTTCCTGCCCTAAAAACTAAGCTAAAATTATTTACAATATGAATCTACTAATTCATTTAAACATTAATAAACTCACGTTAACATAAATAGTATTTTATAAAAATATAACATTTTTCAAAAAATAGTGACAAGAGTACCATTTTTTCAACATTTAAAAAATATCCTTTATGTCTCTTCAAAGAATAGAGCTGGATTCTTTTATTTGCTTCTACATTCAAATTGTTGCAGTATCTCATTCATATAACTTCTAGAAATATCTGCTGTATACTCATGAGTGAATGAGAGTGAAAATGAAGTAATAAATAAATCTCTTTTCCTCTCCAATGGGAATACCTTTCACCTGTACATGGTACATCCCGCCCCTTTTTTCTATCCCTCCCAACTCAAGCTCCCTCCCTTCCCTATGAACAAAAGCTTTGCAATGGGTTTTTAGATATGATACAAAAAGCACAAGCAACAACAAAAACCCAAACAAATTAGATTCATCAGAGTCTGAACTTTACACACATCAAACATCACCATTAAGTAAAGACTACACAGAGAATGAGAGAGAGTATTTTCAAACTATGTTATCTGATAAGAGACTTGTAGGGCCTGGAATTTAGTTCAGTGGTTCTGCTGCCTTCCTCAAAAGCACAAGCTCCAGAGTTTGATCCTTGGTATGAAAAATAAATAAATAAATAAAATTGAAAAGGAAACTATGCCAACCATGGTGGTGCATGCCTGTAATTTGAGCAGCTCAAGACGCTGAGGCAGGAGGACTGCAAGTCTGAGCCCAATGTGGGCAACTTAGGGAGACTCTGTTTCAAAATAAAAAATAAAAAGGAGCCCACATGGTGGTACACATCCATAATTCCAGGGTTCAGTCCTAAGTACTACCAAGAAAAAAAAAGAAACAAATAAAAGACTCTAACAATAGCTCTAACCTGATTTTGGACAGTAGCTCTCCTCTATCTGCACAGTCCACACTGACTTGTCGAGTAAGTTCATGAAATACTGTGTTGTAGATGCTCTCCTCCTTCTTTAACATATGTAATAGCTGGTACATCTGGCTGAAGATAAGTAAAATAATCAGTACTTAGGATAGTATTATCAGTTAAAAAGACATTTTGGGAGGTGAGAACTCTGGACAAAGTTTTAGTAACAGGATTAATTTATTTCATTGCTTTTTCACATATATACACACACAAAATAATATATGATTTTTTAAATCTGTCTAATTGTACACATTTTTGTATGGGACACTGAGAAGGTAACAATATCGCTTGTATGCTATGCCTTCCAAAAACTTTTAAAACCTGAATATAACCACGAGCACACATCAGACAAGCCAAAACTAAGGAATATCTGACAGAATAACTGGCCTGTGCTGTTCAAAATCATCAAGGTCAAGAAAAACAATAAAGGCCACAGAACTGTGACTAAAGAAACATGATAACTAGAAGTGCTGTGTGATGCTGGGATGCCAGGCTAGGCAGAAGAAGCTATGAAAGCGATTACAGGGATAACTGATGAAATATGAAATTTAGCTATGGACTATGTTAGGTAATGTCCTGATTTGAATACTATGGATATTTGAGACAATGTCCTTATTGGTACAAATAAACCCTGTGATATATGGTAGTAGAAGCTAGATGTCTCCAATTTAGAATAGACCAGAAAGAAACTATGCATATATAATAGGGAATGAGAATGAAAAAACAAACAGGGAACCACGTAAATAACAGGTGGGAGAATTTGGGTGCCAGACTTGAATGACCCTTCAAAATATATGCTGAAATTTAATAGCTACTGTAACAATATTAAAAGGTAGGACTTTTGGCCAGATGTGGTGGCAACCACCTGTAATCCCAGCATGTGTGAGGCTGAGGCAGGAGAATCACTGCGAGTTTGAGAATGGCATGGGCTACATAGTGAGTTCAAGACCAGCCTGAACTGCATAGCAAGACCCTGTCTCAAAAACCAAACAAAAGGAAAAGGTGGGCCTTTAAGGGGTGATTAGAACATGAAGGCTCTGCCTTATAAGTGGATTAATGCTGTCATCTTCACAGAAATAGCCTCCTGTTTACTTTAGGCCAATTTCTTCTCCCTATTCTATGAGATCCCTTGTCCTTCCACCTTCCACCATAGAATGATGTAGCATGAAGGCCCTTGCCAGATGCTGCTGCCATGCTTTTTAACTCACCAGCCTCCAGAACCATAAGTCAAATAAACTCATACTGTTTATAAATTTGAGACATTGTGTACTCCATTATAGCAACAGAAGATACTACTAAGGCACTGGGTAAAGGGTCTATCAGATTATCTTCTACTAAATTTTTTTGTAAGGTTTAAACACTATACAAGTAAAAAATATATCAAACAAAAAAGAAATAGCCCTGGGCCAGGGATTTAGATCAGTGGTTCCAGAGCCTGCCTTGCAAGCACTAGGTCCCAAGTTTGATCCCCAGTACCAAAAAAAGAAAAGAAAAAAGAAAGAAAGAAAGAAATAGTCCTAATAAAAAACTTTCTACGTAAGTGTGTAAGAGCTTTATAAAAGTTACAAGTGGTAAGAAAACATGGTTTAACTGGCAGAGTTTTTTAGTAGTATATAAAGTAATGAAGTCTTTTAAAGGAAATAATAAATGCTGGTAAGGATACTCTAAAAGGGAAGCACACATTTTAGAGGGAATGTAAATTAGTATAGCCACTATGGAAAACAATATAGGGATTCTTCAAAACACTACAAATACAACTACAGTATGATCCAGAAATCCCTCTACTTAACAAATATATCAAAAGGAAAGAAAATTAGTGTGTCAAGGAGATAGCTGCACTTCTATATTTATTACACTACTATTCATAAGAGCAAAAAAATGGAAATTGCATGAAGCAAAGAATGGATAAAGAAAATGTGGTGCACATACACAATGGAATACTATTTAGCCATAAAAAGGCATGCTATGCCATCATTACACACTGTATTAGGTAAAATAAGTCAAGCATAAAAAGGCAGGTACTGTATGTTCTCACTTATACATGGAAGCTAAAAACACTGATCTCATAGAAGTAGAAAGTAAAATAATGGTTACTAGAGGGTGGGAAGGGGATGGAGAGGGGATAGAGAGAGGATGGAGAGAGAATGGTTAATAGTCATGGGGTACAACTGGGCAAATGTAGTAACTTCTAATGTTCCATAGCACAACAGCATAAGTATAACTGACAATTACTTGTATATTTCAACATAGCCAATGCAGAGGATTTTAAATGTTCACAACACAAAGAAATGATAAATGTTAGAGGTGCTGGTTATGCCAATTACTCCAGGCTGATCATTCCAAGTTTTAAACATATATTCAAATATCCTAATTATCTCATAAATATGCACAATTATTGTATATCAATTGAAAATAAATACATAATAAAGATCTTACAAGCAGTGGTGCCTATGTTCAGCGACACGTGTAACAGTACAGTCATGTGCTACATAATGACATATCAGTAAACAACAGACCACATATATGACAGTGGTCCCAGAAGATGATGCATAAATACTTGCCACTGTATTACAAGTGCCTATAGCAGTCAGTATAGTTAATTTGCTGTAGTCATATGCTACATCATACAGCCTATGTGCATAGCAAGCTATACCATGTAGGTTTTTGTGATGATGTTCTCAAAATGACAAAATTGTCTAATGATGCATTTCTCAGAAAACATCATTATTAAATAATGATTGACTATACTAATAATTAATTATATAATTTTATCACACACCACACACTTTTCTGGGTACTTTATGTTTGTTATTATTCTAACCCAGGTACTCTGCCTCCAGAGCTCGTGGCCTTGAACACTGAATTACACTGATTTTTTGCAATTACCTTGGTTGTTCCTGCATATTCCTCATTTTCTACACCAGCCCTCTCTAGCATAGTGTTCATCACTTCACTCAGTTGGACCACTTCCACTCTTCTATTAGGTTTCCTAGAAGATTAAGGTGGCCAAAATGTAAATAACATTTTAACATCTGATGCTCAAATAACAAAAAGAATATAAGATGTATAAATAAAATGTATAATTATGGAATATTAACAGTAATATTTCAAACCATTAGATCTGTATCTATTCATCTAGTGGGATATTAGTAATAGAATTTTTTAAAACCAAGAAAACATGTAAACAGCATGATCCTTTTCTTAAAAGAAAATAATTTTCCCCTCCAAAGATTCTATATAACTATTATGTAAGATGGTAGGAACATATAAAAAAATGTGAGATACCAACACCCAGTGTGAGAGAAGAAAAAGGACAAAGGAAAGAAGACTGTAACAAAATACTAATCATTAAATGTAGAATATAAGTGTTTCATACTAAATACTATTTACATTTATGTAAATTTGAATATGCAACTGGACATGTGAAAACAATTAATTAGATAATAGAATAGAAAATTATTGTTTTGGGTTCCTGCTATACTTTTGTTTAATAAAATATCAACAAAAAGAATACATGTGAACATAATCATTCTTTCTAAACAACACTGTAAAATAAACCATACTTACATGGATGGGAAGAGCAATAGCCTGTTTTCACTATCCGTGAGAAGAGTAGTATATTTGCTACAATGAATAAGACAAGAACATGTGATTTTAAGAGAATGATTGGGGTCTGGGGATGTAGCTCAGCGTTAGATTACGTGCTTAGCATGCACAAGGGGCTGGCTCTGGCCTCAGCAGCACAAAGAGCTTCTCTTCCCGCTGAGGATTAATACCAAGAATATATAAAGAACTGAAGAGCTAACCCTCCCAAAATAAATGACTCAATCAAAAAAAGGACAAATGAACTGAATGGACACTTCTCAAAAGAAGTACAAGTGGTATATGAAGTACATTAGATACATTAAAATATTCAACATCATTAGCCATTAGGGAAATACAAATCAGAACAATTTTGAGATTTCATTTTATCCCAATCAGCATGGCTGTCATTAAGAACACAAAATATGGGGCTGGGGATTTAGCTGCCTAGCAAGCCCAAGATCCTGAGTTCGATCCCTGGTACAAAAAAAAAAAAGAGAAGAACACAAAATACAACAAATGAACAACTGGAGGAAAAAGAAACCCTCCTGTATCTTTGGTGAGAAGGTAAAATAGTATAGCTACTGATATCAGTATGGAAATTCCTGAAAGTAACTAGAAATAGAAATAATGACCCAGCATTACCACTTCTAGGTAGTTCTCAGAAGAATTAAAGACATAATATTATAGTGATACATACATATGTGTTTATAGTGGCACAATTCACAATAGCTAAGCTCCAGAAACAACCTAGATGTCCACAAACATATGAATGGATATAGAAAATGTAGTATATATACACAAGGGAATATTATTTGGTCAAAAAGAAAGATGAGCAGACGGGCAGGTCTGTGCACGCCCTACCGAGGTCCTGAGTCACGCGGAAGACACCGAATCAGCCCGTTGCAGACAGGCGGGTCTGCCCACACCCTGCCGAGGTCCCCAGTTGCTCGGAACACACGCTGAGTCAGCCCGCTGCAGACAGGCGGGTCTGTGCACACCCTACCGAGGGCCTGAGTCAGGCGGAAGACGCCGAATCACCCCGCTGCAGACAGGCAGCCACCTGATTCCACATTACCAAGGCACAGAGGACACCAGACCACCAG